GCCTACATAAATAAATGTGAAATAATTCTACTTTAAGAAATCTTGACAAATAATTAAAAGTTATACCATGATTCTTCTTATCTCTAATGTTTATCGTCATGTTTCTAAAAACAAATCCTTAAGCTTTCTTGAGTATCAAGTTGAAATCTAATCTTTCTATTTTGAATTAATTTACCAACGGTCTCATAAAACTCACTATTGAAGTTTTTGTCACAAATAAATATGATAAAAATAAAAAATAAGTATTAAAGATCATTATAAGTTACAATATAAAAATTTATAGTTATATAACTGCTTAGGATTAAGGTAGTAAGCAACATGAAAATGCCTGTGTAATTGCAAATTCCAACGAGTATAAATTATTGAGAGTCTTGGATTTTGAAATTTACAACTATTTGTTCTTTACTTCTATCGATAACTTCAAAAATATATGAATATATGGCATGATAGGTTTTGAATCTCCATCTACACACTGTAAACTAAAAACAAACTTTATGTATTGTGATATATCACTTATCTTCATTAAAGTAGCAATCAATGATAAAAAAAACATGAAATGGTATATTGGTCATATATTACACAAAAGAAAGAAATATTCTCAAATTCTAACAGGATTTCATGTATTTACCACTGTGATATCCTAGATAGACATTGAGGACAACGAGATAATGTTCCTAATGAGTGTGTTAGACAAAAGAATTAGAAAGAGAGAAACGTGAGGGAAAAGTACTAGTATACAAAATGATCCCTGGATAATATATTCAAATAAAATCATAACTGTAAAACAACCTAAAAATTTCTGAAGGTTTGAGTTGAATGTGGGAACTAAAGATCTAGAAGAAGAATCCCGACATTTCTGAAAAGGATCAGTCAATTTTAACTGATGAGTAGATTAGTTTTATGAACCAGAAGCATGAATAGAAACCAATTGTACCAGTGACCACGAAGAATCCATAGGAAAGAAGCAGCATGTATCCAAAATACAAGACTCCAGATACTGGTTTTGTGATCTCAAGCTTTGTGAAAAAGTAAAATGCAGCATAGAGGAAAAGGTAGAGTGCAGAGGAACCAGAAGTGAGATATGACCTCCACCACCAACGGTAGTCCTCACCACACAGCTGGAAGTAGCAGAGAACTATTGTGATCTCAGCACAAGTAACAATGAGGATGATGAACACAATGAACAGGAAACCAAATATGTAATAAAACTGATGTAACCAGATTGATGTGAGAATGAAGAAAAGCTCAATGAAGACAGCACCAAACGGAAGCACGCCTCCTATCAGAACAGAAAACGTTGGATTCATGTACCAAGGCTGATCTGGGATCTGCCTAGCAATCTTGTTTGTCTTCACAGGATCCTCAGCCATTGGCATTTTAGAGCCAAAGTGACCACCAAGAAACACCAGTGGAACTGAGATTCCAAACCATAAGAAAACAAGAGCAAACATTGTACCAAACGGGACAGCCCCAGAAGATTTCTGGCCCCAGATTAGAGCGTTTAACACAAAGAAAATTGAAAAAGCAGTGGCAGGAAACATAAAAGCTGTCTTGAGAGCAATTTTCTTCCATTGTGGTCCCTTGAACATTTTATAAAGACGAGCTGAAGAATAGCCTCCACCCAGTCCCATAAGCACCCAGAGCAAGAGCATTGCAGTCATCAACCCCCCTCTGTTTGAGGGAGACAAGAATCCAAGTGCCGCAAACATCATTGTCACAAGAATCATTCCGAAAAATTGAACACCTGTTCCAACATATACACATAGTAGATCTGAATTGGGAGGAGGCCTGAAAACATCCCCATGAACAAGCTTCCACCCTGACTCTTCCTGAGCTTCTTCCTGTGTCTCTAATTGATTGTACTTTGAGATGTCTCTGTAAAGTGTCCTCAACATTATCATAGCCACCATACCCGAGAGGAAAAGTACAATCATCAAAGAATTAACAATTGAAAACCAATGAATTTGATCATCGGCCATCAGTAAATAGGAATCCCAGCGAGATGCCCACTTCAAATTACTTTCCTGCAAAGATTTCAACAACAAATGAACATCCAAACTCAATTCTTGCATGCACCCTTTTTTCATTACCATGAACAGTGCAACTAACCTGGAACTCAACATCATAGGTAAAAATAATCTCTTTTTTGTCTTCAACCTCTTGAGGAGGCTCAGAGCCTGAGACTAACCTTTTTGCATGAGGATCACATGTAGTTAAGCGCGTGTCATTTTCCCACTCACCTTCGTATGCATGCTTTACACTGATTCATAGGAGTGATTTCAACTCACAATTTCAAAAATGAATGTTTTGTTTTTGTTTCAAATGGTTGGGTAAGAAACAGTAAAAGTAACTTTTGTTTTCAATTTGTCCAGAGAAAAATTGTTTCCTAAAATCAAAGGATGGATAAAACCAAGGAAAGAGATATAATACAACCTGAAAGGCTTAACCTCAAAGCCTACTATCCTGGACATCTCTGTCAGTGGATCTCTGTGATACTTAACTATGAATGTTAAATGGTTGTGGACAAAATGCTTTTCATCCTTGTTCTGTCAACATTTTTGTTTGAAATGTCAAAATAAAATACAAACCATTGACAAAAACAAAGGTGATTAAAAACTAGCACTTACTCCTGCATACTGCCCTTTAAGGCCAACGAGGAAGCCATGCAGATAAACCAAGGATGATTCGTGGTCAGGTCGTCTCAGTGGGACAACCAAAGGAAGATTGTCTAAAATCCTGCAACATTGAAAAGTATACAAGAAAATAGAATTTTTTGTCAGGTAAAAGAGCTAAGCAAAGTATAGCGTCATTAGTGACTCACATGTTCACTCGATATTCATCATCTATCTTTTCCTTGAACTCGTTGGCTGAATTTTTGTCGAGAATTAGCCGACAAACAACATTGCACATCTGGGGTTCTCTCATTTTGAACTTGAAGAATCAAACTGTTTCAGTATTTTGTAATTGTACATTCTAAATGTGAGAAGGAAGAATTGATGCAAAAATTAAACCAACCACGTAAGGAGAGTTTTCTATGCGGTCACCCCTAAGCACTTCCCCAAGATTCTCTGCACTGTCAACAATGCGATCGGGATGACAATAAGGCAGTGAATAGTAGGAGTAAGGAAGCTGTGTTTTTGTTGAAGATAGTTTGTTCACTTTCACCCTCAACAGATCCCCCTGTCACCAATGAACAACATAACATGTTTTATGCAAAACCATATTCTGATCGATGAACATTCATTAAATCATGTAAATAAGCTCTGAAATGCCATTTATGGAAAGGAAAATACATCAATCAGGTGCGATGAAAAAGTGCGTGTCTAAATTCCTATATTTATCTCCCTCTTGATAAAACAGAATGGCCGTAAAATATTCATGCACAAGGAATCTCATCATCATTGCAACTAATCAAAATACCATCACGTGAACTGCAAAATTTAGATTCTTCAGTTTTTGGGTAATCGAAAATTATAGAAAAGAAATGTGAATGATATCAAGTGAAAATGACTGCCACAGGAACACGTCCACTTCTGGTTGGAAAGAATTTCATACCCAGATACCACCATAATGCTCGGATCTCACAAACCAACGTTGAATGTTCCAACAAGCAAAAATAAATATCATCATTGGCCAACTTGTAAAACTGATCAAGGATCTTAATTAACAAAGGCTAGGGAAAGAATGAATATACCAGAAATTCAGAAGAAAGTATGAAACTGAAAATTCAACAACGACACAAGCAGTTTTTTTAACGAAAAAAGGTACCTTGTGGAAATCCTCGGGTGCAACACCAGGAAGGTAAAAACAAGTTCCGAAATTGACATGAAAAAGTAACAGCAAACACACAGAGATCCATTGACCCAGATTGCGTGCGAGAAGCTCTCTCGCCATGGTTTCAAAACAACGTACTTTCTCTCTCTATCTCTCTCTATCTCTCTCTCTCCTCTTACCCTCGTTCCTCCTACTAGTTTGCGTTTTAAGTTTTCTTGCTATGTTCGTTACAAAATGATGTTTTAGTTGTTGGACTAAAAGTTATGTGGCCGTTGGTACGTTTTTCTATCATAACGTAACAACTATTCTCGTATCTAAAGGCATAAAATTAACATACATGTTTCTTCATCAGAGTATGCATTGCAATTTTAGTTTCGGGTACGTGGGTGGTAATTTTGTCTTATTCAGAAAAAAAAGAATTTGTCAAAATTTTCCACATAATTTCGAAATAAAATGTGAGGGTTTGTTTGTTTGAAACACTTTGTAATAAACTTCTATCCATTTACTCTTTTACTTGATAGAATATAAGTGGTTGTTGATTGTTCAAACATGATTCACAGTCATGTTTAATATATCTTAATTTCTAAACATATAAATAGGCACTTTGAGAAGGAGTGACCTTCAGATATGATATACTCAATATAAGAACTCACATTTTTATGCAATTAAAGTTATCAAAATGAGAATATAAGCTTTCTTTGAGAGTATGATGGGAATGACTTAGACAACCACTTTGTTTGAACAAAATCCTTTATGATTTTGATTAAGTAACAAGTATAAAATTAAGTTATATACTCACTAGTAAAAAAACTAGTCTTTTAACGTGTTTAATACGCTTCAGTTTTCATAAAATCGAAGTATATTAAAATGCGGTGGCAATTTTGTAATTAAGAGAAACTTATACGCCTCGGTTCAATAAAAACAGAAACCTATCCTTTCTACTGACTCCGTTATTTATGAAACCGAAGCATTAAAGCCCTCTCCACTAAAGTCTATTGCTTCGGTCTTTATCCACCTGATTTCATTAGACATTTATGACTCGGTTTGCCTCTAACCGAGGCATACTAAAGCCACTAAAATTCTGAATCTTAACCAGCATTTTCTTATACTACTCCTCCAAACCCTTGGTGCTCCTAACATCAGATCCCACCTTTCTGGTCACCTACCGAACCTCAAACCCCTCAAAACAACTGACGAACATCCGAGTGGGCCTCTCGTCGCCAACTTCATCCGTCGACGACCCACGAAGCCTGTGGTCGAGTGCGGGGAGGCTGGAGGTCGCGGTACTTGTGCGTGTGCGCGTGCGAGAAGGGCGCGTTGTCGAAGGGAGGGGAAGCTAGAAGGAGGCGACGGAGGGAGGTGGCGGAGGCAAGATCTGGGCGCATGGAGGGGCAGAGGCCAGATCTGGGCAAATGGAGGGGCGATCTGCGCATGGCCGAAGAGGAGGCCGTGGATGACGGAGGGGGAAATGGAGAAGTGCTGGATGAGGGAGGCAAGTGTGCCGCCGAAAGCCCTGGATGACGGCGGGTGGGCTTTAAAGGCGGTGGTGGCGGTGGATGGAGGTTTATGGCACCAAAATCTGCAACCATTAGTTCATCTTTTGAGATAATTGAACGTCCCTCTCCCTCTCCTGCTTTGAGTAATGCTTTTAGTGTTATAATTTACTTAAAAATATGCTTTCTGTTTATTTGGTTGTTGCAATGTGAAGTGAGTCCAGTAATGCCTAAATTGAAACAAAACAAACTCAAAATGGTTGTTCAGTTATTCTGATTCATGAAAGTTCGAAAGCAGCAAGACCCAACCACAAACGCATCTGATTCTTAACGTGTTGGTGTAAAATTAAAAAATAAATAAAACCCTTCTATTGCCTCGGTTAAACTCCAAACCGAGGCATAAGACCCAACCATAAACGCTTCAGTTCTGAATCGAGGCATAAAGTGGTAGACTTTTTACCTCGTCTGTATATGCCTCGGGTGCGGAACCGGTGCCTATAAGCAAAAATGACCGGTTTCGTTTCTCTTGATTGCACTAGTGACTTTATGATTTTAATTAAGTGACAATCAAGTATAAAATAAGGTTATAACACTTTTGGAAATGGCTAGTTATCAGTGGAACATTACCGACGGATTTAATACCTTCGGTAATGTTTTGGTGAAATAAATTACCGATGGGTCTTGGCCGTCCGTAATGTCTTCAATAATTTAGGCACAAAATCACATTATTCTCTCTCAAATTTTCATTTTGCACGAAAACCCTTATTCCCTCAACCCCTTCTTTGATTTTCCTAATCTTAGAACCCTCACACTCATCTTCTCCAAGGGTCGTAGGCGTTGGCTACCAGAGTTTGCGTGCCTCCATTTTCTTTGATCAATTAGGGTGAAAATCAGGTATTCCCTCTCACATTTTGACTTCGCACGAAAACCCTTATTCCCTTCCTTCTCTGATTTCCCCAATTTGAGAACTCTCGTAGTGATCTTCTCTAAGGGTCGTAGGTGTGGGTAGTCGGAGTTCACCTCCCTCCATTGTGCTTCAATCGAGATGTCAGCTCGAGACTCGCCCTCGTAGTGATCTTCTCCAAGGGTCGTAGGTGTGGGTTGCCAGAGTTCGCTCCCTCCATTATGCTTCAACCGCGACATCAAATCGAAAACCGCCATTACAGTTCAATTGCCCCTCCGCAAGCTTCATTGGGCTTAACCTGCAGTTTACAGACTCCCTTTGTCGACACTACACTCACGAGGTAACATCCCTTCATTGGAAATGTGGTGTGGTGTGTGAGAAAGTACAATAGATGTGTTTTGGGGTTTGTCTATGGCATATAATGACTATGTTTTGACGTTTTTATGGATTGAATGAATAGTATTAATATTTAGTTATGTTTTGGGGATGTTTAGGTGTTATATGTGAGACCCTAAAATATTATAATAGATTTTTCTCTTCTCTGCATAACTCAGATAGTAAATGTTTCTTGTTGTATGATAGTGAACACGTGCTTAGGTGTTAACTGTATGAGTAACTTGTAATGATGATCTGTAATAATTGTTCTAGTGATATGATTGATGTATGTTAGCATTGTTGATTGGCTTGTGTTTATGCCTTGCCTAGTGAAAATTGTTGAAATGCATATCGTGACTTTGAAATAGGTGAAGTAGAGTGATGTCTGATCAAAAGGTATAACTCCTAAATTCCTTGTACATTTGATTTTGGAATGAATGGGAAGCTTGGATACAACTTACGTTTTGTCTAGAAATCTCAGACGTTTTGTGTGTGAGTAGGAGAGTTCTCGGTTGTTATATTTAATTGATGGTGTGTGTCAACACTCAATTTTGTCCGGGTTGAAAAAAGAAGTGTTTTTATTGGTTTTTTTTTTTTTTAATTTTATTTTACCTTTTTGTTTTATTCTATTTTTATGTATTTAGATTTTTGCTTTTAATTCAATTTCTACTTTTCTTATCTTCAATTTTGTTTTAATAGAGTTAATAATTAAAAAATTAAAAAATGAAATTAAAACTGAAAATAAATAATAAATAAAATAAAAAAAATTAAAAAAAGGGGGAAAATAGAAAACGTGGGAAATGGGTATGTGAGACGTGTCTGGGGTGAGGGGGACAAGGTGGTTACAAGAGAATATTTTCCAAGATTTTGGGGGAGAGGATTTTTGGTTGGATCAGGGGGAGAAAAAGGGAGAAGGAGGACACACACGGGGACCATCATTTGGAGGAATCATCATCCAGATTCATCATTGGCACCGGCAGAGAAAACGAAAGGTTAGGGGAGGTCACCGGATACAGAGTGATAGCAGCAACCATAGCAGCAGGTAAGTTTCTGTTCACTTGTGCATCCAGATTCATGGTGTATGCTTACTGCTTAAACTCCATTCACCCCATTCTCGCCAGCCCATATACCATCATCACATAATCAATTATCCCCTTCACGCTCATATACACACAACACACTCATCTCTTCCAGTACCAAATTAAAGGAAGTCAATCAACATTAAACCAATCAGAAAACAATAAAAATTAAGGGAGGCAGAGAGGAAAAATGGTGTTGCGGGGGGCATTTGGCAGTTGAGAAAATACTCGAATGGGGAAGAAGAAGAGTGGCGTTGGTGGCACCGGTGAGGTTAGTGGCGCGAGGGTATTGAGTCCCGGCGGCCTGGAGCTGTTGAGAAGGAATCTGGTGGCCGTGGAGGTGACTGAGGAGGTAGACGAAGGTAGGCACGGGGAGCCTTATCGCGGCAGTGGTCGTGGAGGTTTTAGTAATGGTGAAGTTGATGATGATGG